AAGACATCTTGATATTATGTCCCTCCTGATGCTATACTGAGGAGGTCACAACATCATTTTTGCAGTGCTATTACAAAAATATGTGTAATCTAAAGCTAATTTGGAAAAAATCAGCCAAAAACAAATTAAGGGATGTTCTGCAAAAATAACTATTGGCTGATTTTCTTCCAAAGAGTCAAGGTCATGAAAGACAAAGACAGACTAAGAAACCATTATAACTTGGAGGAGACTAAGAGAAACAACAATTAAATGCAGTGAGGGAACATGGTGTAGGTCCATGAAAAAAATAATATATTAGTAGGACAAGAGGAAAAATGCAAATAAGATGTATAGGCTATTTAGTAATATTATATCAATGTTAACGTTCCAGTTTCAGCAATTGTATAATATGGTAGCGTGAGGGAAGTTAAATGAAGGCAATATAAGTGCTCTTTATATAATCTTTGCAACTTTTTTGTAAGCCTGAAATTATTTCAAAATAGTTTTTAAAACTGAAGGCAAAATAAAGACATTTTCAAACAAACAAGCTGAGAAAATCTGTCACAAACAGACCTGCACTACAAGAAATTTATTAAAGAAAATTCTTCAAGTTGAAAGGAAATAATTCCCGGATGAATTCAAGAACTACATAAAGGAATGAAGAATGCTGAAAATGTAAAAGTATGGGTGAATATAGAAGCCAAATATATTCATTTTTTTTAGTCTCTGCATAAGATAATTAACTTTCGAAGCAAAAATAACAACAATGTATTGTGAGGTTCATAGCATAAAAATAAAATATATGACAACAGCATAAAGAATGGGAGTGGGAATACAAGTACACTGGTGGAAAGTACTTATATTTTACTTGAAGCATAATATGAAGTAACACACACTGGTAAATGTGCTAAGTTAAAGATGCATTGTAAACCCTAGATTCTAACACTAAAACTGAAATAAATTTTTTAAAAGGTGTAGTTGGTAAGCCTAAAGAGGAAATCAAATAATAAAAAATCCAATTAATGCAAACAAAGGATAAATAAACAAGAAATAGCAAGATGATATAACTGAATACAACATAGATGATTATATTAATTATAAATGGCTAAGCAGGCTAATTAAAAGGCAAGGATTGTCAGATTGGACAAAAGACCATAACCCAATCACATACCTTCAACAAGAAGCACTCTTTTAAAATGCAGACAGATTAAAGTAAAATATTAACTCACAGCAAACTTGAAGTGCTATATTAATAACAGAGTAAACTTCAGAGCAAGGAAAGTTACCTTATAAAGAAGCCACATCGTCAAGTTAGTAACCGAGCTTTCAAATGCATAATGTAAAAATTGACAGAACTAAAATGAGAAGCAGATAAGTTACAGTGAGAGTTGCAAATTTAAATAAACTCTCTCAATAACTAATAGATCAAAGATGGAGTAAATTAGTAAGAAAGATATACAGTACCAAGAACTAACTTCAACTAATTGACAATTATAAGGTTCTGTACCAGCAGCTAAGGAATATATGCTTTTTTCCAAATACATATGGAACATCCACAAACAATATGGGCCACAAGACAACTTTCAGTAAATTTTAAAGGATTGTGATTATACTCAATATACTCTCTGATGTCAACAAGATTAAATTATAAATCAGTGAAAAAAGATACTTGGAAAATTCCAAAGTTATTTTAAGAATTAACACATTCCTAAATAAACCATGAATGAAAGAAGAAACTCCAAGGGAAATTAGAGAACAGTTTTAGATAAGTGATAATGAAAATATAACACAAAATATTTTAGATGCATCTAAAGCACTGCTTAGAGAAAAAATGCATTGCTTTAGTATTTAAGGATCAATGAATCAAACTAAGTCATATGATATAAATTAAAATTTTAAAAGTCAATTGGGATATCTATATATTAGCAACAAAAAAATTGGAAAGTGAAATTCAAACACCACCACTTAAGGGATAAATTCAACAAAATGTGTATCTGGCCTGAATTCTGAAAATCATAAGGAGACAAATTAAGGAAAATTTTCAAATAAAGGAGAAAAAAAGTCATCAATTAAGTAACTTTACATTGGTAAGATGGCCACTTTTCCAAACCAATCTGAATATCCAATGCAATTCCAAGCAAAGTCCCAACAGGATTCTTTTTAATTTTGTTTTTGGGTATTTTTTTTAAAAAGATTTATTTATGCATAAAAGTACTGGGGTATAAGCCAGAGGTGCAGTGGGGTGACAGGATTCACCAGGGAGAGTGGGGAACAGAGCAGGCAGATCCACTGAAACACACCACTTAAGGGGAGCAGTGGGCGAGACAGGAGAGGTCTGCTGCACCATGTGGGTCAGCTCTCTGGCCTGCTGGGGGATAGAATTGGTGCTGCAGTGGCTGGTGACAGCTTGATAGTGCTGTCTTTAACTTCTGTACCACCAGGGAAGCCTTCTTTGTAATTTTTATTACAAATTATTTTTTAATATGAAAATGCAAAGGACATATAATAGCCAGACCACCACAAAGGACATATAATAATCAGAGCACGACAAAGTAGAAAGATTCACCCTACTTTATTTTCAAGATTTGACTATAAAACTATAATAACTACAATAATGCAGGATATTAGCATAAGAATAAACATATTGATGAGTGGAACAAAACAGAGTACAAAAACAGATCAAAACATATACGTCAATTGGTTTTCAACAAGGATATCAAGCCAATTTAATAGGGGAAATGACAGTCACTACAACAAAAGACACTGAAACAGCAGAATATTCAAATAGAGAAAAGTAAAATGTCAACCTATTCTCCTGAGAACTAACTTGAAATGGATCATGGAAACTATGAAAGTTGAAACTACCAAGCTTCTAGAAAAAAGTGAAGTATAAACCTTTATAAGCTTTAGTTAGGTAAAGATGTCTTAGATGTTACAAAAGGAAAGTATAAAAGAAAAAAAACATAAATCAGCTTCTTCAAAATTAAAAATTTTGCTCTTCAAAGTTAAGACTTGGAAAAGTCAAGTGCAATAAAACATTCACAACATATACAGAAATACATCATGAAACATATACCAAAGACTTGTCTCTAATTATATAAAGAACCAACAAAGCTAAAAATAATATGCTCATTAAAGTAAGCAAAAATTTTGAATATACACTTAACAAAAGAATATATTCAAATATCAAAAAAGCATTTGAAAAGATGCCCAACATCTAGTTATCAGGGGTGGGGTGAAAATTAAAACCATAAAGGTATATAATTATAATTTGCCAGAATGCCGAAAATTCAAGACTAACAACATCAGTGCCAGCAGAAAGTGGTACAACCACTTTGGAAAACAGTTTGGCAACTTACAAAGTTAAACATACACATATCAGGCAGTCCAGAAATTCTATTTCTAGTTATTACCCAAGAAAAATGAAAACTAATATCCACAAAGTAACTGATCATAATTAGCCACTGCAGTTTCATTTCTAATGTCCCCTGAACTAAACTAATCCAAATATCCACTTATTGGTGAAGGGATAAATAGACTGTGGTATATTCACATGGAACTCTATTCAGCAATAAAAATACAAACTACTGATCTACACAATAAACACAGATAAATCTCAAAAAGCATAATTCTGGAAAAATAAGAAATAGAACTTAAGAGATACCTACTATATGAATTTCTTGAACAGACAAAACCAAACTATAACGAGCATGCAGATTGGAGGCTGAGGATGGGTGGCAACAAGGCAGAGGAACTTCTGGGGATAATGGAAATGATCTTTTCACTTAACTGATTTTGAAAGTATAGTCGGTACCTCATTCAAATTCAGCCTTGGGGAACAGTTAGGTATAGATGTAAAATGAGAAAGAAAGGTATTTCCAACCACAATAACATACGCAGAGCACAGAGGTGTGGGGTAAAGTTGATAGCTTATTTTTTAAATTAATGTTACTGAAGCGTAATTTGCATACAACAGCACCCACCAACTTGAGGTTCATAATTTCATGGACACTGACCCACGTGACCAGCATCCCATAGAGCTTCCTTTTAAAAAGGACCCCTTCGAGCTGTTTCTGTGTTTGACAAATTACAACTGTATTACAAACCTCCTAAGTCAGTATTAAACTGAAGACAGATAGCAAAGAGGCAAAGAGGTGGACCCCCAAGCCCTCAAGGGTTGAAATCCCCTCTAGGGGTAAAGTAATACTTGTTGAGCAAATCATTCTATGTCTCAAAGTTTCTGTTTCCTCATCCATAGAATGGGGATAATAACGCAAGCAGCCCCCCAAGACTGCTGTGAGGACAGGACGCATCTAGCTCAGAGCCAGAGCATGGTAGGATCAACAAGGGGGCGTTTGTTGGTAGTGATCCTCAGAGAGAGGGCTTGGAACCTGTCTCTCAAGGCCCTGAAATAGCCCTCAGTGAAACCACTGGCAGGCCAATCAGAATGGCCACTCTAAATTTCGCGTGTTTCGCAATCAGCACTGAAGGCTCCTAAGCATTTCCTTCTCACATGTATTGCTTTGATGGGGGTCACTTGAAAATTGATTCTGGAATAAATTTAAGCCAGGACCTTTAAAGTTTCCCTCCTCATTTTGTCTGACCTACGACCTAGCTTTGAAATGCAGCCCGACTTCCTACATTTCAAACCATGAGTCACTGGGGACACCCCAATTCTAGGACACCCCCGCACAGCCACAGTGCCCTTCTGGGCTCTCCCAGCTGCTCCAACCCTTTTCCCTCCAGATGCCCTGACTCCATGACCTAGCTCCCACTATCAGCCTCAGGCCTATCTCCTCTGGTTAAGACCGGTTTCCTTAGTTTACCTACCTGTCACCTTACCTGTTCTGTTCTGCAAGCTGCCTTGGTTATTGCTAACACCTACTGTGTACTATTAAGACACCCCTGAAGCCATCTCAGCTTCCTGGGTATCCCTTGCCCCAACTCCCAGCACACAGGACCCAGGGCACAGTTGCAACCGTGATGTAATTCAAGGGTCATGGGGACAGAGTGCCATCTACCTGAGCAACAAAGAGCTGGAACTCGTCAGGCAGAATCCATGAGCGAGGGTAGAAGTTGTACTCCTCTGGAAAGAGATTCTGCATGATTCTCACCGCTCTGCTCAGAGTAATTTTACGCACCATCTCCGTCATGCCTGGGGAGAAGAGAAGCTGTGAGGTTTTAACAACAGTGGGCCACTAGCTATAAAACAGCCATTACTGGGGACTTTCAAAACCACCCACCCGACAGATTCACTTTTTCAGACAGGATAAAAAAAGGTATGAGTTGTTCCCCACAGCAGTGACTCATCGTTTGGAGAGATGTACCGAATTAATGAAAAACTTGAGCTAATAGACAGATTTTTTTTTCTCTTGATAAAAACGAAGCATCAGTCTGAAAGAGTGAATTTCCAACCCAGTTTATGGTCCCATTCTTTGCCAGCCCCCTAGATAACAAATAAAGAGAAGCATTTATATCTTGCACTTAAAAACTCAAGGTCTTCTTTGACTTGGGACCAGCAAACATACTTTGAGATTCCTTCCATCTTATTTTATAGCCTAGGGAATGTTATCTAGTGGATTCTTGGTTATTTTATGAGAAGCTTAGTGAAGCTGTTTTGTTAAAATCTTTCATGAGTATTAAAGAGAGACCATAGAAAAATATATACCTTTCAGCATAAAATCTGTCTCCTTGAATTAAGAACAGGAAGTGGAAAGGATTTCATAGCATAAATGAGAGTTTTAGGAGGAAAATGGAATCCGTAGGCGTTCTTCAGTTAAAAGTACTGAGGCTGACATTGATCCAATCTCATTAATATGCCCAGAAGGGATTGAAATGTCTCACTTACAAAAATTTTCAAAGAAGAGTGTATCTTTTTCCCTTGTCACACCTTTAGTAACTCTGACAAGAGAAGACACGGAGTCTCCTCTATGAGTTGAAAGGCAACTTTCAAGCTAAGAAGCAAGAATTATTTTTAAATATTACCATGCTTATTTCTTAAGGCAAAGATCACTGCTAAAAACGGAGACTCCAGCTGGCCTCCCCGTGAGAGAGGCTAAATAGTTCCATTACTGACACTAGAGATGCGCTTAGCACAGTTATTTTTGGTAGAAAGTGCAGAGGTTCTTGCCAGGTTGGCATGTCCAAACCATCACACATTCCAAATGGGCACAGACAGAGAGAACAGGGTTTCTCTAAACTCCTATTCCCAGGAGGCATCCGGTGAATATTTGAGAATGGAGGTTCAATAACTGACTCCTTGTTTTTCCCGGCACATTAAAAAGAGCAGTAAACTCTCCAGATCACAGCTCCAAGATTTCACTGCCAGGTTTTTGGGTCTTGGTTGGAAGGTGATAGAGATGACTAGGTAAGAAGTAAAGGAACTTAACGAAGTACCAACAAACTGCTCTAGAGTCTTCCCTATTTAAGAAAACTCACTGAGGGCCCTGCTCGGAGCTTCCCAAGAGATAAGTATGCATCTGGAAAAATCACAGCTCTTTCTTTTTATTTCCCCAGGTAAATTAGTTTTTACTCAAACACTGCAGCCAAGCATAAAGTAGAAAAGACAAAATTTCAACTTGCTTTTTGAACCTTTTTACTAGTATTTAAGTAACATTTTAGTGATAGTGGGCAGGTAAAACAAAAAAACAAAAAACCTCCTCACAGCTTCCTAGCAGACAGCGCCCAGCCACAGGGAGGGCGCCTCTAGGCAGAATGGAGGCAGCATGGCGTCTCCGGTGTGAACAGTCTCCTTCCGGAAGCCACAGGAAGTGCGGTGAGCGCGGCAGTCGGGCGCCGAGGCTCCAGAAGAGCTCCGTGGAAGTCAAGCGGCCCACGCAGCAGGCAAAGGCCCTTTTGTGACGTGGCCACAGGGACCCACGTGAGCCAGTAGGTCTGTCTCCAGGCAGTTCCCCGCTGAAACAGCCCACCTGGGAATCCCCCCGACAAGCTAGCGGTCGCCTTTCCCAACACACCCAGCATGTGGGCCGTCAGCTGCTCACCCCTAGCCCTGCCTGACCCCCTAACTCCAGAAGGCTCTGGTGCCGGCCTCCCTCCGCCTGCTTAGCTCGCACACCTGTGTTCTCCGCCCAGCCTAAGCTGGTTCCCAGCCACGCCGTGGGGAAGAGTGTCTCCCAGCCTCCTTAGACGCCCTGTGGAGCCTGTTGCTGGTTCAGAGACGGATCTGGAGCGTCACTGTTTCTCAGCAGGATGCTGACCACAGTAGCTGTGCTCCTGGCTGAGCCAGAGTCGATCCGGAGTAGCTGCATCAAAGGTGGGGGCCATCGCCAGCCCTCCTTTCTCCTGACGCCTGCCACACTTGACCGCTAGGGTAACCCCTGCCCGAGGTGCTGGGACCCTGAGACTTAGGTCCTGAGGTGGAAGTTCTAGGGCAACCAGGAGATCCCCTGCTAGCGTTGGCCTTGAGTCTGCTCCACTTAGGTGAGGAGACGTTTCGCTGTTTTTCTGAGCTGTCATTGCTTTGTGCCCAAAATTTGGGAGCCTGTCTTTGGGCCCTAGTGTCCAGGGGGCTGCCTTAGCGATGTCTTTGGGGTGCTTGCTTCAGGGTCCTTCCTGGTCCTCCCAAGCCTAACCCAAGGGGGTGGGCCCTCCCTGGGACTTTAGCCTGGTGGCTGGGGTCCAGCTGCTGCAGATCACTCCCGTGCTGACTGCCCACCTGGGCTTCTCAACAAGGTCTGCCCTGAGGCCCCTATCGTGGCAGGTCCCCTAACAACCGGGAAAAGTCCTATCTCTAGTTGGGGTTCTCCTTCAGTCTGCTGCGATGACCCTCACGGTCATGATCCGTCTCCTTCAATCTGCTGCGATGACCCTCAAGGTCGGCGGGACCCATCCCACGTGAGTTACACAGAGTCACGGTTTGACCCTCGGGCTGGCCCACACAGACTTACGTTGACTCAATTGAAACAAGGTCTGAGTCATGTTGGGAGCCTGGCTGAATCCAGACATTGTGCCTGACTGTGATTCTTGGCCAAAGCACATGGCAGCCGCCAAACAGCAAGCAACCCCTCGCCGGGACACCCCCTCCTTTCTGTTCCCGCGGCCCCGGGCTCACTCATGCTTGCACAGAGTGCTGTGCAGTCTCTGAGCTCTGGGCCCTCCCGAAGACTCCCCACCTGCCCCTAGTGTATCCCCTTTGCCTGATGTTTCCACATGCATGCTAACCCCAGTGGCACTCTGTGGCACCCCATGACCTTTGGTCCCTGCCTGTCACCTCTGTCTATCCTGTCACGCTGGTACCTGTCTTGCCATCCTGGGCCATGTGCCCCTCTCTGAATGACAGATAGACTCCTCCCTGGAGCCTTTCCCTTCTGACAGAAAAATCCCCCCATGGGGTACTTCTTAGGTGCCCCCTGCCAGGTGCCCCCCCACACATCCCAGACCCTGAAGCTCAGCAAAAAAAAAAAAAAAAAACACCTGTTGCTCATAAGCTGAGAATCTACAAATTTCTCAAAATAAAGACATATGTAAATCGATTATTTTTATAGAAAGTCTTAATTCATCAGTTAAGATATAATAACAGATCTCGAAGGAAATTGCCCATAGAAAAGTGGCTAAAATCTAATGTGCTGACACAATGAAAATAAATCACTTCCATATGCGTATCCTGAGGCTTTCAGTTTCGCAGCCTGTGGAGTGTTCGCTCTTGCCTGGCGCGTCCTCAGGAACTCACTCTGAGTTCTAAAAAACGCATTTTGGAGTAGTGGGATAGCTGGGTGCAGGAGATAAACTGGGACACTAACTGGAGCGCAGAACAGACTGTCCTGTCATGGCCCCGGGCTCAGGGTGGTCACTGGGCAGAGGGCGGGGTGCACAGCCGGCCGCCTGGAAGTTCCAGAGCTGGTTTGGCCATTAGCGCTGGTTGATTGCTGTGAGTAAAGTGGAGGCCAGCTGTCCCCATCACTGGCGCTGGGGCAGGAGGGCTCGCGTGCTCCGGGGCGGCGCAGCTGTCGTGTGAACTGCCCCTGTGGGTTTGGTTTGTCCTCGCGCGCACTCTGCTGCTGCTCCCCTGCCATTTGAGGGGGCCTGAGCAAAGGGGAAAGGTGCGTTTTCATTTGTACATGAAACGGAAGGCTTCTCTGCCCGATTCGTGTCTCAGGAACGCTGTCACCTTCCAGAAGCTGTTTGCTCCCAGTTCGCTTTGCCCAGTCCTCCCGGCAGCACCTCAGCTTTTCTGAGCATTCACAGGGTGTCCCTCGAAACTGGCACGCCAGGGCCCTGTCCTTGTTCCCTGACCAAACCCGCTCTCTTTCTCGAGGGCACATCTGACCTCGGGCTAATTTTCTGTTTCCCTGGAAACTAATAAAGGCGGAAAGTTGGTTGCACTACTAGACAACAAAGTGTGTGGTCCCTGTGTAAATACCCAGGGAAGAGGAAGCGCTGGGCCCTCCTGAATCAGAGGCGCCTGTAACCTAGCTGGTCTTTGCCAGGGCTTCGGCCTGTGCCCAGAGGTGTTACAAGACAGTGGCTCATGGGAGGGGTCCTAGCCAAGACAGGCCAGTCAAGGGTCTAGTCAACCACCAGAGCAGAGCTTGCACTGAGGCTCGAATGACGGGGCCCCTGGGATGCTGTGGAGGCGCTGCCCTGAGGGGAATGTCTGCGTCACCCAGAGCCACGCTGTGCTGCCTCTGCCAGGTCCCGTGGGAGCCTAAGCCAGGCCAGGGCCAGGGCCAAGGGATCTGTCTGCTGGGCTGAAAACCCACAGGCAGTTCTGAGAGGTGTTTTCTTAGAAACATAGCAGAGGGTGCTGAAGGAACAAGGGTAAATTGATTCTCCTTTTTAAAATAAGCAACAGTGAAAACATCTTCTAGTCAGGTGCCCATGCTACCATGCTCCGCCAGCAACTTGCCCAGGGCTACAGGCCTGGGGACGTGTGGGGGAAATACAGAAATGCACTGCGGTTTTGTTAAATGTGGGATGGGATTCAGCGTGATGCTCTTTTGAAAATTATTTATTATTGTGCTATGACTGGTTTGTCACAGTATGTCAAGATTTCTGAAAATAAGTAACAGAGCTTGGGCTTAGCCACACGCTCCTTCCTCACCAAGTGCTGGCCCCTCACCCTAACCTCCCTCTTCCGCAGCCATAAAGATGATGAATACCAAATCAAAAGGGAAATGAAGTGATATGTGGGGGTGGGGCGGCCTGGGAGTGGAGCCAGGACAGGAATGTTCACATGTTGATTAGGCCACTTTTCCCACACCAAGGAACTAATGTCGAGTGTGAGGCAGACGCTGTCTGCCCCATCTCTAGGCAGACGCTGCTGTGTTGGATTTTGTAATGAGACCTCCAAATAAGAGACCTCAAGAAAAGGGAAGCTGTTAACCCACTTCTGTGATTCTGTGGTCTAGTGCTAGGCTCTTTGTATTTCTGTTGCCTACAAATTATTTGAGTGAAATGTTCCCTCATTAAACCCCATATATATCTTAAAAGGTGAAAATCACGTGCTGGACCTAGACCAGCAAAGCCTGTTTTGTATGTTCTGAACCTCCAGTCTCCAAGCCCTGGGTGGGTTAAGTCCTGACCACCTCCTCCCCCGGCCAAGGTAATGTCGCTGAGGAAGAAAGCAGGCAGCAATTCCCAATTAAGAGTCCTTGACTTTCATCTCCAAACACTGTCATGTTTTTATAGAAGAACGAACCCTAAGACTCAACCCTAGAAACACTTTTAAATGCCAACAGTAACTGCTGATACCTGGGAACTTGTTCACTTGACCGGAGAATATATCATTGTCATGAAATGAAACTCCGTGCCAGTAGATGTCACAAGGCAGACGTCGGCCAAAGGGAAACTAGGAGAAAGAGGAAATGTGATTAGTACAAGGACAAGAGGAGCCGCCTCCACACTGGCTGCCCGTGGGGTCCAATCCAGGCACCCTAGCCTGTGTCGCGGGACAGGAGCTCAGACAGGACACATGCAGGAGGCAGCTGGTACTCTTTCCCGTTTTAGAGGTGAAAAAGCGGGTTGAGACAGGTTAAGTAACTTGCTCAGAACCACAGCCCCGGAGGGGTGGCGTTCTGATTCTGTGTGGCAGGCACTGCCAGTAACTTCACAGGCGCCCTTTCAGTGTTTCCTTCTAACTACTCTTAAAAGGATCTGTCCCCATTTTACTGATGAGACAATCATCAGTGGTAAGGGAAGGAACAAGGATTTGAATCCAGGACTAATAGAATCCCTACTTTTATTCTTCTTCACTGAAAATTGTAATTTTGAACCCAAAGGCTGGGCCCAAAGGCTGACCTCTCTCTCTCCCAGGATTGCAGGGCAGCGAGGTGGGTGATGGGGAAGCATCAGTTCCACAGACCCAAATGCTAACCTCAGGTTGCAGACTGCGAAGTCATTTGATCGTCTGCTTTTTAGAGAAAACTTTCTGGTGAAATTATTCTCCTCTTTTCATATGAACATTTAAAAGCATTTAACACACATCTTCACAAACACACAGAGTCCATGAAGCTGGGATGTATTCCCAGTGCCTAAAACAGTTTCTGAGAAGCTAGTAAGACATTTTGAATGAATAAATAAACAAATCAAGACGGGTCGTCTGACTCAAAGTGAATTCACCAGCTTATCTCTTCCAGAAACTTGGAAATCAGGGATGCCAGGCAGCCTCTCCTGCTCTGGAGCTGGAAGAAACAGCTAGAACCAGGCAGCTGTGCGCACAAAGAAGCAAAGAGAGCCAGTGTGCTGAAAGGGAAGAAAGAAGGGAGCCCAGAGATGCAGCATTACCCTGGAGACCTACGTCTGAGAGACCTCACTTCCGAGGGCTTTGAGTCCCACACCCAAGCCCTCCAGAGCCCAAGTGTCCCTCCTGTCCCTGGATCCTGTGACACGTGTCTTTAGAATACATTCTCTCTTTGCACTATAGGATTTCAGTGATTTTCTATTGGAAAATCCTTCACTAAGACAAAAACACCTGTTTTTTTTTTTTTTCCACTATATCCTCCTACCCCTCAGAGTGACTAAATTTTCCATTTCTTAAAAAGCACGGGCGTGGTAGTTCATACTTACAACTCTCCTTGTTAAAAATCCAAATGAGGAGAAATGACAACACATTTCATAAAATCATTTGATTTTTCTGTTCTAAGTCCTTTAGTCAATCAGAATTTTTATCAACGCCAGGTTGAGAGGACTAAGCTCTGTTGGAATTACTCATGAAATGATGGCAACTCCATGCTTCCAAATGTTCCAAATAAAATGAAGGTAAACAGACTGAAGCCCTTTAAATCATTCACACTATTTCAAAATTGTGCCAAAGTGAAGCATAAGTTACATACTCCATTAGCATTAACAACTTTCATCTATCATTTATAGCATTTCACTCATTTTCTTTGCATCCAATAGACTGACGTTATTCAGTAGTCAAAAATACAAAGAGATACAACATATGTCATTTTCATCCAGCTGTTAAATGCTAACATGAAAAAGAAGAATAATTTCACCAGAAAAGTTTTCTCTAAAAAGCAGACTCTGGGGCCCTCCCTGGTGGTGCAGTGGGTTGGAGTGCCACGAAGCTAAGCCTAGCTGTGGCTGCTTCAGTGAAAGCTCAATCCCCGCCCCAGAGCTGACCCATGTGATGCAGAAGACCTCTCCTGCTGGCCTAATGCTCCCCTCAGCAGTGTACTTTGCCAATCTGCCTGTTCTACTCTCCACTCTGTCTCTGGTGAATATCTCTCGCCACCCCTGCACCTCTGGCTGTACCCCAGTTCTAGATGCATAAATAGATAAATCTTTAAAAAAAATTTTATGGGAAAAAAAAAAGCAGACTATCAAGTGATTCTGCTGCCTGTAGCATGAGGCTAACATTCGGGTCAGTGGAACTGATGCTTCCCTATCACCTGGCTGGTTGACCTGCAATCCTTGGACTCTACTGAGTCCTAAAATCAGCCCTTCATTGAGAAGTACCTTTTGCTCATTCGGTTTTGAGAAAATGTCTTTATTTTTAATCCACCCACCTAATTATTAGTATGTGCTAGACACTTTGCTAGGTCTGAGAATATAAAAAAAATACAATTATAATTGGCTCCCAGTACTTTATAATCCCACCTCTTTTAAAGTTCTTTTTAAAAATAGCTTCAACAGCTAACATCATAATGATAAAAGACTGAAAACCTTGCCTTTAAGGTCAGGGATTCGACACTTCTATTCAACATAGTATTGAAAGTTCTAGCCAGAGCAGCAAACAAGAGAAAGAAGTAATGGGCCTTTGGGGGAAAAGAAGTAATTCTCTCTGCTTGCAGGTAATCTGATCCTATATGTAGAAAATTCTAAAGATACATGTGCATGCCCGTGTGTGCATGCGTACACACACACATACATATACACAAACTGTCAGAAATATAAACAAATTCAACAAAGTTGCAGGATACCCAAAAAAAAAAAAACATAAAAATCTGTGCTAACCGTGGACAATCTAAACATAAAATTAACAATTCTTTTTATAGTAGCATCAAAAGAGAATAAAATACTTGGGAATTAACCAAGAAAGAGAAAGACTTAGACACAGAAAATTTTGAAGAAATTAAAGATGGAACTATATCCTATGTTCATGGATTGGAAGACTTCATATTGCTAAAATATCAATACTGCCTAAAGCAATATACAAATCCAATGTACCCTACCAAAATCCCAATGAATTTTTTACAGAACTAAAAACAAGTCCATCCTATAATTCATATGGAATTTACAAGGAATCCTAAGTACCAAGGCAACCTTAAGTTATAACAAAGCTATAGTAATCAAAACTGTGTGTAAAATGATGAGATACGAGTACACATCTATTAAAATGGCCAGAGTCCAAAACACAACACCAGATGTTGGTGAGGACCCAGAGCAACAAGATTCTCAGTTGTTAGTGGTGGGGATGCAAAATGATAATAGCTACTCCGGAAGACAATTTGGCAGTTTCTTACAAAACTAAACATACTTGTACCATGTAATACAGCCATTGTGCTCCTTGGAATTTATCCAAATGTTGAAAACTTATGCCCACAAAAAACTTAAATACAACTGTTTGTAGCTGCTTTATTGATTGACTATTGCCAAAACTCGGAAGAAACCAAGATGTTCTTCAGTAAGTGAATAGACAAACTTTGGTACATCCAGACAATGGAAACCAAACACTAAAAGAAATTATCTATCACATCATGAGGAAAAAATGGAGGGATCTGACATGTATATTTCTAAGTGAAAAAGTCCATTTGAAGAGTCTAAAGCTGTATAATTCCAACTATATGACAATCTGGAGAAGGCAAAATCTAAGGATACGGGGAAAAGAGCAGAGATTTTCAGGAGTCTGGAGAAGGGGTGATTAGTTGGCACAGAGGAATTTTAGGTTAGTGAAATTACGTATATACCACAATAATGGGTACATGTTACTTTATATTTGTTCAAATCCACAGAATGTACACCTACAAAACGAACACTACTGTAAGCCCCAGACTTTGGGTGATAGTGATGTAGGCTCGCTGCTGTAGCCAATGTACATTCTGGTGTGGTATGTTAATGGGGGGGGGGAGATTATGCATATGCAAGGACATTAAGCGGACAGGAAATCTCTGTCCCTTCTGCTCAATTTGCTGCATATCTAAAATAAATAAAAATATGATAGAAGTACATTTTTAATAGCTTGATACTGGCATACAGACAAACATATAGACTAATGAAATAGGATAGAAAACCCAGAAATAAGCCTTCATATTTTGACAAGGATGAAATGATTCTTCAGTGGGAAAGGATGGAAGGGTGGTTTTTTCCAATACTTGGCATTGGGAAAACTGGATAGCCGCATGTGAAAAAATGGGATCGAACACTTATTACAAAATACAAACTCAACATGAATCAAAGGCTTAATGACAAGAGCTTCATGACATTGGGTTTGGCAATGATTTCTTGACACAGCCGCCAAAAGCATCATTAATGAAAGAATAAATACATAAATTGAATGTCATCAAAATAAAAATCTTATTGCAAATCTTTTATATGCTCAAAAGAAATAAAGGACAACCCACAGAATGGAAGAAAATATTTGAAAATCAGCTCTCTAATCAGGGATTAATATTTGGAACATATTAAACTGCCTGCAACTCACTAACAACAAAAACAACTAAAAAATGGGAAAAGGACTGAAACAGACATTTCCTCAAAGATACACAGGTGGCTAATAAGCACATGCAAGGGTATTCAGCATCACCAACCATTATGAAAATGCAAATCTAAACTGCAGTAAGATACCACATTTTGTGCCCATTAGGGTGACTATTATAAAAATAATAAGAAGACAATCACAACTGTTGCTGAGAACATAGAGAAATTGAAGCCCTTGTGCATTGGGAATGTAAAAAGCCACTGTGGAAGATGAAAGTACTGCATGATTCAGCAATTCTACTCTGGGTATATACCCAAAAGGATTGAAATCAAGGACTCAAACAGATCTTGGTACACAACGTTCATAGCAACATCATTCACAACTGCCAACAGGTGGAACAGCCTGTCCTCCAGTGGAGATGCAAAACTCGGTGCATAATATACTGAAATATCACAGAGAATCAAGAAGGAGTGAAGTCCTAATACCTGTTACAGCAGGGGTGAACTCTGGAGACATTGTTCTAAGTGATGGAAGTGGGAAATAAGAGGAGGAGATTGTACGACTCCTCTTACACTGGAGGCCTAGAGCAGTCAGGTCAGACAGACAGTAGGATGTTGGGACAGGTGCTGGGAGAGCAAATTGGCACCTCCGTTTGGAAAGATTGTGAAAAACTACCATTCTTCAGACAGTTAGCGGTGATGGTGGTA